AAAAGACGTGCAAAACAATCAAAAAAAGTTTTATCAAGTTTTTTCAAAATTCGTTATTCTCAAAATGTTGTTACACACGGTAAATTTAACGACAGTTTTTTCAACCCACTGGAACAGCCTTTAAAGAACGTTTCTATTGGAAACTCTGAGGCGAAAACAAATTTAACCACCAAACATAAAGTCCAACTTTATAATATTAATTATATTTTTATCTTGACGTGTTAGAATGGAAATAGATATTAATTCTTCGTGCATTATTGTATAATAATGCACGTTTTTCGTTCAAATGCTTTGTAATTAATCACTCAGCCCTATCGGCCTTCGTGGTTATATTACTACGCATTTGAACTCAAACCGTGAATTATTCTACAACAATGCACTCAGAACTGATATTTATTTCCTAAATAGAAGCCCTGTTCGATATCTTACCGAGACGGGTGTGAGAAAACAACACGAGTAATGATGTTTCTATAGGCAATTCAGATTCCGTTGCTATCCGTTATATCATCATTTTGAACACAAGATCTTTTTTCGATGATGCGCATGCTTTCCCTTATTTTTGACGTGCAACTCCTCTTTGGTACTCTATACGAAAAGACTCTTTTACTGTATGAAAGTGAATTACAATGGTTGGAATATTAGACTTACATGTAATCCTCATATACCTCAACATTTAAATAAAGACATATAACCGCATGAAAAAAGCATTTTTCAATATGTACTAACTTGTTTGACGCAGCCGAAAACTGTCTCTCAGATCAGTCTTATTCCTGATAGGATTCATTTTGACAAATTTGGTATTATTTGTTGCTGTCATTGCCAATTCTATAGATTGATTTATTGACGCAGACCGGTCATCAATAGTATCCACAATCACCCCTGGAAAATAAGAGGTTACAGGTAACACTATTTAAAAAATTACGATCGTGTGTGCGATCACATGTGCGGGCGCGATAAAAATATAATTGTAAAGTTTACATAAATAACCGGTATCTCCTCATACATTTTTGTAGCACTGAAATGTTTTATGTGAATAATTATCAAATAATATTGTCACATATTCAAAAGAATCGTACAAAGATATAACAATTGTTACTTTTGCCATACTTAAACTCTATAACAAACTTGTACTTAATCAGTTAACATGTGTATTCATCGCTTAATTGATATATTGCCCGATTTCATTATTTTCTTAATTTATTAATGCTGACTGTTAAACACTGTATGTACAATAAATGAAAAAAGTTTCAAATAATTATATATATATTGTCTAGGAAGTAAGTTAAGAATACACAATTAAATATAGGACATAGAAAAAGTACAGATGTAAGTAAACAAATTAACTTTCTTAAAAAATTCAAAGTCAACAGCAAACCCTCTATATTGCATAGATAAATGAAATATGAATATACAATTTATTACCTATTGTAACCGTGTTGGAGGTTTTTCCACAAATTGGAGTGATATAATATGTTATTCCGAAAACACAAATATATAAAATATCCATATTACACGGCATCGTGTAAGGGTTTATACATCCATCAACTAGTTTTAAAATGACTTCCTATCATAACTGACACTTAAATTGAACGCTTCTTCCATTTTCCTCACATGTATAGCTGCCGTAATATTGCCAGTGTTTCTCCGACTGTCAAAGCAGCTGTCTTTCTTCACGTCACGATCTCATTTATTGTTGAAGCGGGAATAGCGAATTGAGACTTTTGTCGCATGTACACAAGGCTGATATTTGAGGTGCTGTGAAACTAATTACTCCGTCTAGTACAGAGATATTCATCCTATAGAATCCATTCTTGTTTGTATCAATTACAACACCAATATGAAATTGCTTCCTGTAGGCTTTCTAGGAGACATCATTCTGTACAAGAAAATAGTCTTGAGTTTAACTACTTGGTATTTAATGAAAAATCGAAGCAGAAAAGACTTTATTAAAAACAGATTAAAAAACAGTGCCTATCTAATAGAGATAAGCCAGGATTTATTTAAGGTTTAAATAATTTCAAGAAAACGATTTTACAACTTTGGACGACATATATAAATTAAACATGTCTATCCATTTTCTGAAAGATTACATGTGAACGAGAGCATAAAAAGCGGGGCAATGTACGCCCGAATGTAAATTTGTTTGAGTAAGAATAGTATTTCAGATAGATAGATACCAAATTTTTCTTTGTAATTATACTTATGATGTATATGACTTTCAAGGTGGGGTGGGGACACTTTATCCTAGGTGTATGATTAATAAAACTTAAGGGGTCTACTAGGCACTGCTATATGACAACTACATGTAATAAAGACATAGTAGTTATCCACAAAGAGATGTGTTTGCCTATACCTTAGTCTACCTAAAAGCAAGTGACTCTCGGGGCAGGGCCTAGTTAATTAATCTATATATTGATGCTACATGCCAAATATCTAAGCTCTGGGCTTTGTAGTTTCACACAATAATATTTAAATGTGTTTTCTAATATAAGTGTATATAAATCAAGTGATCCACGGGGCATGATTCATATCAGTTTTGCAGGGGTCCACAAGGTAATGCTACAAGCTAAATATCTTACCTCATGGCATTGTAGTTTCACACAATACGATATGTTTTTTTCTAAAGATGTCTATATAAATTAAGTGACTCCCGGGCGGGCAATTTATTGACCCAAGGGATAAATATGATTAATATCAACATCAATTTTGTGGAGGCTCATAAGAAAATGCTACATGCCTAATATTTAAGCGCGTGTTGTTGCGATATCACATTGTCGTTCGGTTCAAATCGTAGGATTGGCTTATAAACCAAGCGACAGGGCGACATCGCGACAACGCGCCGCACGACAACGCGCCGTATAGCGTGCTTCGCTAGAGACAGGACGACGACAACAGCGCGACATCGCGCTGTTTGGCGCTTTGTCCTGTTGTCGCTAGCGACAGGACGAAAAAGCAATAACGATATAGGTTGCGTTGTCGCTATCGACGCGCAATGTACCAAATCAGCCACCACAGCTTTGTAAAGGTCAATTAGGCAATGCCAAAAATTGAGAATTTCTTTCTATCAGTTAGAGCGGACCCGAAATTTTGAAATTTATACAAAAATTGTGAATTTGACGTGATGCGAATTTGCACAATGTCTCATGGTTAACATTTCTGCAAAGTAGTACCGGTTCAATAGTTACAGACTTGAAACAAATTTCTGAACTTAAGTTGAAATATGACGCATATGTTTTGTTTTCCAAGCATACAACACAATTCAAGTTTATTAATTTCGTAAGAATGATTTTAGTCTTTATTGTATTAATTATTCTATACGAAAACCTGAAACGGTGCTTTCACTAGACCACTGAAACCGCTGTAATGAAGTGCAACCAAACAATATTTTTTTCAGGTTCCAGAGGATGAGTTTTAAAATACGCTATTTGGTGGAAACTCTAATATATACAGTAAATATAATCAGGGTGATCAATCCACTTAAGTTGGGTATTGTAGTCACAAATATAACGGGTATTTCACAAAAAATACAGATTTTAAAAACTTTTGATCAATAGAACAATGTGTGAATGTCATCTAAGTTTTGGCACTTTCTTTGATGATTCGGATTAAACAGCAGGGAATAAATCTTTGTGAACATCAAATATTCTATTGAACAGCCGGCTAGTCACTTCTCAGAAGTCATGTCGTGTGTAAAATTTATGTTTTTGTGTGTATTATTTAACAATGACAACATTATATTTATGCAATTTTATTTTCACATGCAATTTAACAATGACAACAACATTATATTTATTCAATTTTATTTTCACATGTAATTTAACAATGACAACATTATATTTATGCAATTTTATTTACACAAATGTGAGCAATTGTTTTTAGATATTTATGACTATGAAATTAAGACAATCGGCGATGGAATTCATTTTCATTTCTTTGGTAAGTACCATGTACGCACCAAATTTATCAGAATATGGATAAACTGATACTCCGAACATACATTTTTTCAAATTAAAAAATCGGTGTTGATTATTTTAATAAATTTGAACAATGTTGGTCACTAGACCATACTTCATGTAAAATGTTTTTGGATACATTGCTTGCAATGTATACAGAGTTATAGCTGCATTTCTGCAGGCAATAGGGTAAAAGCCTTTGCTGAACAACATGCACTTCCGGAAAAACCTCGATAAAAAGTAGGTTATTGTTACATTAAGATAACTCATCATTTAAATATTGTTTGCAAAGTTGTAAAAAGGTTTTGAAAGCTCGAAACTATGCATTTTCAGTTTGAAGAAAAATTTCTAAACATAAAAGCAAAACATATGAAAATGAATAGTTTATTGATAAAAGCATTGCGTATTTCTACGCATCAAACTTCGTATCCACGCATGCGCGTGCAAGCATGAATGAATTACAATTGATTAGACATCGTAAATATAGAAAAGTTGTCACACTCTGTATGAAAATATGTGCAAACATCCAAAATAGATATTAAATCAAGTAAGTTGACCTTATATACACTTGCATATGTTTTTCTTTTTTCAAACTGTTTTTAAAAAAAACTAGCATATATAATATATGCAAGCTCCAACCCCGAATATATATGGAGCTCCGTAACAGAAATCTAGGTCACATTTCGACACTGATATTCCCGAAATAAAATCAAACCACAGAAGGCGCTGAATTTGTTTGTGTCTCAGAATGACAGAAAGGTGAAGGTTGTGAGAATATAAACCAATTTGTTTGTAAAGTGTCACCAAATTCTGTTTCCATAGTTATAACTATAGTAAATTGACTATAAGACTAATTGCAGCACTGATAATTAATTCAATGCTTATTTGGCTTAATAAAAAAAAAAAAAAAAAAAAAAAAAAAAAAAAACAAACAAAAAACATGACTTGTCTGAAGTGGGATTTGAACTCCGGACCTCTGGCGAGCGTGTAAACCCCATGACCACGGGGAGTTATAAGATAACGGCCTGAAGAATACCATATTATTCTTAATTAGAGTTTGTAAACCTTATTAATTTCGATATATTTTGTTCAAGGTAAACCTGTTGTTTAATACTGAAGTAAATAATCAAGGAGCTCAATATAAGCATGTATATCCATAAGAATAACACAGAATTAGAAATCTCAAACAAATCGGGAACTATTTTTTCGTTACGAAAATTAATGCGCATGTCATTTGACAATCTTTACGCAGTGATCTCCCCTTAATTTTTCGGCGTTAATGTACATATGAAGGGAAGTTATCGCTTCGAGGAGTTTGAACTACTTTCGGCATTTGCAAATAAGAACATCAGGGTCTGAAATTTCGCTACCATTATTTGTTTGGTCTGACGACCCAAACAAATAAAAATCAATATGAAAATAATCAAACACAGCACCTCTATCTAAAATGAAAACCGTGCCTCGGGGCAATGATTGTTATCTGTCCATACTGCATTATTTTAAATTATAGCGGATTAAAAGTTGTGTTGCTAATTGACAGCAAGGTGACGTAATAAACAGTTCTATTGTCTATTGGTTGTTTATATTAAAGACTCAATTTGTAAAGGTGTAAAATTAATACAGAACCATCATGACACTATTTTATGGTTTAAATTAGATAAACACTTTTTCAACTTTGATACTGATGTATTTATTGCAGGTGTATATATATGGGTCGAGAATTCCCCTGCATATAATGTTGTCAATGTAAATTTGTTTGATTTATTACAAAATGATATTAATATGTATCAATCATTGGGTAAACTGTTCTTGGCCGGAGACTGGAATGCACGAGTAGGCTCGAAGAAAGATTATATAGAAAATGACCGTTATGTAGATTTCATAGATGACGTCGATTATTCACCAGATTTCTCTTGTCCACGTAATTATATTGATAATACAATTAATGCGATGGGTTTAAAACTTATCGATCTGTGTTTGATGTGTAATTTACGTTTAGCCAATGGAAGGTTAGGAAATGACGCAAACGGTTCATTTACATATGCAAACAGTCTCGGGTCAAGTACGATTGACCTTCTATTATTGAATGAAAATAATTTTGAATGTATTGATGATTTTACCGTTCAGCCTTTTAATGAATGGTCGGACCATTGTCCGTTATCCTTCACAATAATATGTAATCATATATCTCCTGATCATACTGATGAAAAGGAATCAGTCAGGATACAATGGAATGATGATTTAAAATCCGACTTTAGACGCGGTATTATTGGCCAGTTAAATGAATTAAACGATTTATTTTTAAATTCTGACATTTCAAGCGCTGATGACGTAAATAGTTGTGTTCAGTCTTTCACTGATATTATTAATAAAGTAGCTGAACCACTGTTTTGTAAACGTGTCTCGCGAGTCACGCGCAAAGGGCACAATACAATTTTTAAAAAGGCTGACTGGTTCGATCATGACTGTCATAATGCTAAATATGTTTATTTAAATGCTGTAAATATGTATAATATATCAAAACGGAGGAAAATAGAATACATATGTTAAATAATAAGGCTGTTTATAAAAGTTTGATAAAAAGAAAACGTAGACAGTTTGAAGTAAATAAAATTACCCAATTACAAAATCTTAGACACTCAAAGCCAAGAGATTTTTGGAGATTATTCAATTGTAAATCAAAAGGTAATATCAGTGGCAATTTAACAAATAGGGATTTTTTCAACTATTTTTTCGTCTCTTCAAAGTGAAATATCACAATTTGAAACTGAGGAAGCAGAGAATTTTTTAAATAATCATGATTTTGGCCAGGAGGGATGTTTTGATGAACTAGATAGTACAATAACTGTAGAAGAATTATTGTCTGTTGTTAAAAATTTGAAAAGGAATAAAGCTTTTGGGAATGATATGCTTTTAAACGAAT